GTATGTATGCAAAGAAACGTGGGGAGCGATGAATGGGTGGACAAATCGATTAATGGGCTGAGTGGATTGGGATGAGTGAATGATAGGATATATATGTGGACGAGAGGATGGATGGGTAGATGGAAGGATGTATGGATGGATGGGTCTGAATGTATGTTAATCTGACATCGCGTGAACAAGGGTCTTGTGATGCAGTGCTTCTATCTGACTGTCAGATGTCACACAGAGACAGTAAGGATGACTGTTATACCCTATATCTGTCGAGTCAGAACTGCATACCCCCAGTGTGTACACACACTTACCATCTCGGTAGTCAAAACGAGATATATACACCGTATAGGAGGAGTGCGTTCCAACACTATCACGAAATTGTTCCACATTAGGACAGTGCATCCATATGTAACGAGGAAAAATTAATGGATGAAAATAAAGTTTGAATGAATAGGGGAGAGAAAAGAGAAGAAGATAGAGAACGAGAGAGAGGGGTGGGTGGGGGGAGGTAGGGGAGAAACAAAACAGAATGGGGGAGAGGAAAGGGAGAAGAGTAAGGAGAGGAAAGACCAGAGAAAACTTGGTATATACCTAGAGAGAGAGAGAGAGAGAGAGAGAGAGAGGGAGGGAGAGAGAGAGAGAAAGAAAGAAAGAAGAGAGAGAGAGAGAGAGAGAGGGAGAGAGGGAGAGAAAGAAAGAAAGAAAGAAAGAGAGAGAGAGAGAGAGAGAGAGAGAGAGAGAGAGAGAGAAAGACTAGTATCCAAGTATATTATGTAGTGTCAAGCAACCAGCAACATAATCTGTCGAGACCTAGGGGATAACCCTCATGCTATGTAACTGGAATATCATGACAGTCAGAAACTAACCTGGGATGGGCCTGGGTGTAGTGGGGAGGGGGATGGGTGGGAGGGAGGGAGGAGGATAAGGATGCGTTACCGGGACTCTGGTAATTTATACGAAGCTATGTTGGGTTTTAAGGCCTAGTGGTGAGAGGTTACCCATCAAATATATAAGTCGGTTTTCCAAAGTTTTCCGATGTCGATCGTTAGATGAGCAGGATCGGATGGCCGTGTCCTGAATGTCAGCAGTCCTACGATGGTCAGCGCTGTTGAAATGAGTGGCAACTGACCTGGCTGTTTGGTTAGTGATGTCATGAAGGTGCTGGCGAAACCTGTCGGCTAAGCGAAGACCGGTTTCCCCGATGTACTTGATGTTGCAGATAATAGCATAGATGACGTTCCTACTAGTGCAGGAAAAATCCTCTTTGATGCTAAAAGTGCTTTCAGGAAAAGTCACATCTGAAGTATTCAGTACGTATGGGCAGGTGTTGCACTGAGATCTAAGGCAAGCCTTAGTGCCCGGATGAGTTGGGGCGGGTCCCCGTACTCTGCTGTGTACCAGTAAATCTCTGAGGTTGCGGTCCCGCTTATATGCCAGTAGAGGTGTCTCTGAGAACACAGCGTTAGTTACTGGGTCTGCTCAGAGGATAGACATATGGCGGAATAGGATGTTCTAGATAGCAATGTTATGAGGGTGGTAAGTTAAGGAAAGTATGGGTCTAAGGTTATGCTGTTTAGGCCTGGGGATGAAAGCATCCACCCGACTGATGCTCTGGGAGCGGCGGAAGGCAGATTCTAAGACAGACTCAGGATATCCACGTGATCGGAAGAAATCCATCATTTCGTGGGCTCTACTGTGAAAGTCATCATCATCCTTTCCATAATAGTCTAAGACGCAAGAGTTGAGAGAAAGGAATGGCGTCCTTACAAGACCGAGGATGAGAGGAGTCATAGAGTAGAAAGGCATGGGAGTCGGTCGGTTTATAGTAGACCGATGTAGTGAGACCACGAGGGTTGATAGAAACTGAAAGGTCCAAGAAATTTACTGAAGAGGAAGAAATATGGTGGGTTAGTTTGATACTGGGGTGAAAATTCGAGAAGAATTCAATGAAGTTTTCCAGTTCCACTACTGACATATCGGTGACACCAAAACCATCATCAATATATCTCTTATACAATTCAGGGACTCGACCTGTGTATAGTTGCCACACCTGGTATTCCAGAAAACCCATGAAGAGGCAGGCATAACTAGGGCCCATTTTAGTGCCCATAGCCACCCCACTAATTTGGGCAAAGTACTGTCGGTTAAACTCAAAAGAATTGAGAGTCAGAACCAACTCGGCTAAACGTATAATGGGTTCAGTGGCAATGGCTGGATTACTGTGTTTGTCCAGAAAGAAACGCAACGCCGAGAGGCCATCACTGTGAGGGATGGAGGTATACAGTGAGGCAACATCCAAAGTAAAGACCTGATACCTACTATGGTCTGAGGTGAAAATCATAGACTCAAAAGTTACAATGGCATGATTGGTGTCCTTCAGGTAAGACGGGAGCTCGGCCACTAATGGTTGAAAAATGCTGTCCAAAAATGCAGATACGTGCTCGGTTGGACACGTCTAGTGGTTAACTAACTACTCAACTAACATACCTTGGCATACAGTGACAAACGTCAGGAGCAAACGCACAGACAACAGTACAGCTTGGAGTGACATGACTGCCCTGCGGTGATCTCAACAGCTCTAATGATTGTATGGTCAAAGGCGTCTGCAAGTTCCCAGAATCAACATCTGCATAATGTCACGCTTATCTGGATCAGTGCGGTTATATCTTGACAGATCCAGCCACAGTCATTATGTCCTGTAAAGTCTTATTCTTATCTCAGAGTGGCCGATTTCGTTCCCAGAAAGAAATGAAAATGTTTATTGTCAAAACAATTTATTCACACGTTTATAATGCCATATTTGAAAATGTGCTGAACTAGAATCTACATTTATCTAGCGTCCTTCACTGTCTCGCTCTCTGGCTTTTTTTTTTAAAAATGTGGTCTTCTGGTTAATATCGCCGGCACATTTTAAAAAGATAGATGGAGGAGAGGATAAAGAAGTAGAGAGATGCAGCTGAGAAAAATAATAGTTAAAGGATGTTTAAGAGATAAAATGTTCTCTTATGTGGGGAGTGTAGTAATAAGTCTACGCCCCAGACGATCAACGCTCGCCGCGGATCGGAAGGTCGTGGGTTCGCTCCCTGGCGGAGCCGGACTTATTTCAAAAATGACCTTGGCTCCCAGGTCGACCCAGCCTTGAGTGGGTACCGGGTGCTTTCCCGGGAAAGTAGAGGCGGCCGGCGTGATGCTGACCACATCACCCATCTTGTGCCGATTGGTCTATAAAAATATAGGTCTAGCCCTATATTCCCTATATGCCTAAAGGCGTGGAGAAGGGTCCTTTACTTTACTTTACTTACCAGACGATCAGGTAATAGTCAGTGGAGGTTTAAAAAGTTGTTATAGAGTGTCAGTAAAGGTAAATAGTATGAAGACTACAACAACCAGTAGTAATACAACACATATACTCACCAATCTAAAGATGGAATAAAGGAATAACAACTAACAATCATGTTTATCAAGGAACACAATCACAAAGTCGAACATCTCTTTTTAGACAAACAAGATTCCCTCTAATACTCTAACAACCTACCACTCGTTAAAACTGATAGCAGAATCTACTCAACGATAAATGAGCAACAAACTGCTAGATAGAATCTCCTTCATTGCTATTGATCAGACACCAGTGCCAGGATAGTAGTATCTCCTAACAACCACTATGTAGCCTACCAAATAGCCAAAAGCCTCCTACAGTTGACACTAGTAGCTCACATATATCTTCATGTAGGGAGTTGGCAGTCCGAAATGCAAGATCAAGGTGTCTCCTTCGTGCCAAAGAACCGTATGGCTTGTGGGTGAACAGTCGTTAACGAAGGCAGTCGGGTCGTACTAGGGGTAGGGGCGACGCTTGCTGGTGGATGTAATGTCCTAAGTCCCTTCCCCAGCTAATAGTGAGGGTACTGCTGGGGTTACCGTTTATTAACCCTCACATAATGCTTCAGGTCAAAATGGACGCTAGGTACTGCCACTGTTTTGAGCTGTGGCAAATTGTTTTTGCTTCTGCCAGACGGTGGCCGTTGCATTTTTGCTCGATTTGTAGACTGGAAGGATATAGTTTCGTTGCCCAGCTTCTGAGTTGAGTGCATGACATGACACTGTGAGCTGCGGATTTCCTTTGGAATCTTTTTTTGACTGTGACCAACGTGGTTGTGTGCATTTTAGATTCAGAAAATGAAGGGTGCGATGCCGGTTGTCGCAATAGTGGTGGAGCCATTATGTGATTAAAATTGATTGCGTGTGCAGCTGCTGATCTGTTGCTGACTTCCACGAGTCACTAGTGCTACCATCCATGGTATAGGCGCTTTGTCTACTGACATGTCACTTACCTCTCTCTAAATTTATAACTAGGATTTTCAGCCTTTGTTAGCATTTCTTTGTAAGTTTCACATACAGGGATTACCCGCAAGTTTCTAGGTCACTGACTTTAGGTACCCTCTTGAAACAGTGTAGCAGAAAATATAAGTTCATTGTCCTTTTCATTTCATGACATAGCAGTGCTATCTCACGGGCACATTTGAATGGCGGGAAGGCAGTTTTACTGTGTTTTTATTTGCGATAAGTTTTTGCTTCTGACAGGATATAGTTTCATCGCTTACTTACTGATTTGAGTGCATGGTGAGACACTGTGAGCTACATATTTCATGTTCAGTGCTTTTAGAATGTGCCCATCGTGGTTTGTTTGTGAACAGCAAATTCAGAAAAAGGCGAACAGCCTGTTGCCATTGAATTAATTTGGTCTTATGTGATTACTTGCGTGTGCAACTACTGATCTGTTGTGACTGCTGCTTTTTTCGTCGATGAACTGTCTTTATAGTGTTAATCTTGTGGTGTTGGCACTTCTGACTGTCGCTTTAAGCGTTTAACGCGTGTGTCCGCTGGTGGATTTGCAATGACTGTCTGTATCAATATTGCCACAAAGGACAGTGAAGGACATACCGTATGGTTTTCGTTGATACAGGAACGGGACAATTATGGGGTTACCCGTTTACTGTAAAGCTGGAACTCCTATTACCTGATTACCTGATTACAATCCCAGTGTTGCTTTCTTCTGATTTCTCTTTTCATTGCAGGGACTCACGTGGATATAATGTCCGGGTTATACAGGAGTGCGAGGGAATGAAAGGGCCGGTTATATGGCTACGAAAGCGAAAGCTACGGGAACACTCGTATAGGACAAGGGAGATATTCTGAAGACCACATATGAACGACTTTTGGCAGAAGACACAAGAGTATATGAAATAAGATGGGCAAAAATGAGTGAACGGGGAAATAAGTGTGGATACGACAAGAAGGGACGGACGAGAGGAAGAGATCGGCGCGTGTATAATCAGTGTGCTGCGGGAACAGTTAGCATCTACACCTTACGTCATTTGCTGCGGGAGACGGAGCCTCTGTCGGTATGCCCGGTGTGCTATGATGTCGATTCTTAAATCAGGAATCAGATTTCTGTTTGCAGAAAATACGGATGCACGAACACAGCATAACAAGGGCACCCGTGACGGCTACATCAGCCTGGTGTTAACCAGTAAACCTTGGCGGGCAAAGGTCAGGGGTTCCAATCCGTGTTTACGAGGATGTTAAACTTGGCTACGGCACCCCTGCAGCTCCAGCCTCGAAACATGTGCTAAGAAACATAACCTTGTATGTAGATCTTGTGTGTAGACCTTGTATGTAGACCTTGTGTGTAGATCTTGTGTGTAGACCCTGTATGTAGACCTTGTGTGTAGACCCTGTATGTAGACCTTGTGTGTAGACCCTGTATATAGACCTTGTGTGTAGACCCTGTATATAGACCTTGTGTGTAGACCCTGTATGTAGACCTTGTGTGTAGACCTTGTGTGTAGACCCTGTATGTAGACCTTGTGTGTAGACCTTGTATGTAGACCTTGTGTGTAGACCCTGTATGGAGACCGTGTGTGTAGACCCTGTATGTAGACCTTGTGTGTAGACCTTGTATGTAGACCTTGTGTGTAGACCTTGTATGTAGACCTTGTGTGTAGACCTTGTATGTAGACCTTGTGTGTAGACCTTGTGTGTAGACCATGTGTGTAGACCTTGTATGTGACGTGTGTGTGTAAACCTTGTGTGTAGACCTTTGTATGTGTGTAGATCTTGTATGTAGACCTTGTGTGTAGACCTTGTTATGTAGACCTTGTGTGTAGACCTTGTATGTAGACCTTGTGTGTAGACCTTGTATGTAGAACCTGTTGTGTAGACCTTGTGTGTAGACCTTGTATGTAGTGTGTGTAGACATTGTATGTAGACCTTGTGTAGACCTTGTATATAGACTTGTGTGTAGACCTTGTATGTACCTTGTGTGTAGTAGACTTTGTATTTCGACCTTGTGTGTAGACCTTGTATGTAGATCTTGTGTTGTAGACATCGTGTGTAGACCTTGTGTGTAGACCTTGTATGTAGATCTTGTGTGTGTAGACCTTGTATGTAGACCTTTGTGTGTAGACCTTGTATGTAGACCTTGTGTGTAGACCTTGTATGTAGACCTTGTGTTTAGACCTTGTATGTAGACCTTGTATATATGGCTGTGTGTGTAGACATCGTGTGTAGACTTGGTATGTAGATCTTGTGTGTGTGTAGACCTTGTATGTAGACCTTGTATGTAGACCTTGTATATAGAACCTTGTATGACCTTGTGTGTAGACCTTGTATGTAGACCTTGTGTGTAGACATCGTGTGTAGGAGACATCGTAGTGTATGTGTAGACTTGTTGTGTAGATCCTTGTATGTAGACTTTGTATTTAGACCTTGTGTGTAGACTTTGTATGTAGATCTTGTGTGTAGACATCGTGTGTAGACCTTGTGTGTAGACCTTGTATGTAGACCTTGTGTGTAGACCCTGTATGTAGACCTTGTGTGTAGACTTTGTATGTAGACCTTGTGTGTAGACCTTGTATGTAGACCCTGTGTGTAGACTTTGTATGTAGACCTTGTGTGTAGACCTTCTGTTTTGACTTTGTCATATGTTGTGTAGGTCTTGTGGGCAAACCTTGTATATATGGCTTGTGTGTAGATCTTGTATTTAGACCTTGTGTGTAGACATCGTGTGTAGACCTTGTATGTAGATCTTGTGTGTAGACCTTGTATGTAGACCTTGTGTGTAGACCTTGTATGTAGACCTTGTGTGTAGACCTTGTATGTAGACCTTGTGTGTAGACCTTGTATGTAGACCTTGTGTGTAGACATCGTGTGTAGACCTTGTATGTAGATCTTGTGTGTAGACCTTGTATGTAGACCTTGTGTGTAGACCTTGTATATAGACCTTGTGTGTAGACCTTGTATGTAGACCTTGTGTGTAGACATCGTGTGTAGACTTTGTATTTAGACCTTGTGTGTAGACTTTGTATGTAGATCTTGTGTGTAGACATCGTGTGTAGACCTTGTATGTAGACCTTGTGTGTAGACCCTGTATGTAGACCTTGTGTGTAGACTTTGTATGTAGACCTTGTGTGTAGACCTTGTATGTAGACCCTGTGTGTAGACTTTGTATGTAGACCTTGTGTGTAGACCTTCTGTTTTGACTTTGTCATATGTTGTGTAGGTCTTGTGGGCAAACCTTGTATATATGGCTTGTGTGTAGATCTTGTATGTAGACCTTGTGTGTAAATCTTGCGCATATAACTTGTGTAGGTCTTGTGTAAAAGCCCTGTATGTAGACCTCCTGAGTAGACTTAATATTTGTGGACCGATTTAACTGCAAGAAATAGATGCAACAAAAAGATGCTAAGACTGGCTACCAGAACAAAGGGACCACAACAAGTCCAGAAAATCAAGCCTAAAACTTTAGTGCTTTAAAAAACGTAAAACTTTTAATAGATATATGTCTTTCTATAATCTAATTTGTCTGTATACCTGCCTGTCTGTCTGAGCAGTGTCTGTTTGTGTATGTGTCTGTCTGTCTGTGATGGGTCTGTCTATGTCTGTATTTCTGTTTATGTGTATGTCGATGAATGAGTCTATGTCTGTGTCTGTCTGTCTTTGTGTATGTGTCTGTCTGGTGTGTCTGTCTGTCTGCCTGTCTGTGTCACCAATACTATAAACAACAAAGACACAAAAAGATCCCTTGATTACTGCTTTGTTCACAGCTTTCTGGCCCCTATTTCTGTGGAATGTACAATCATATTGATTGAAATAATATGAAACGAGGAAACACATACTTTAAAAGATAATTCTATGCATGGCGGTGGAAGGTAACCCCACTGCAAAATAAAAGTTCATCTATTCATTTGTTAGATAGAATGCTTACCACATTCCCTGTTCTTACACACTGTTGTATTGTTACCTTTCAGTCATATTATATTGTAGAGTTGCATTGTTACTTATCAATCACATTATATTGTAGAGTTGTATTGTTACTTATCAATCACATTATATTGTAGAATTGTGCTGTTATCCATCAATCACATTATATTGTAGAGTTGTATTCTTACCCATCAATCACATTATATTGTAGAGTTGTATTGTTACCCATCAATTACATTATATTGTAGAGTTGTATTGCACCCATCAATTACATTATATTGTAGAGTTATGTTTAGAAGGAAAAAAAAACTTTTCTTGAGCAGGGTCATTATTCTTTAATTTTTTAGTTCGCATTGTTTTGTTTTTTTAATCTGTGCAGCTTCTGTCTACAGGCTGCTTCTGTGTTGGGGCGTGTACTATGTTCCACTCGTCGCCTGGCTTATGAGCTTTATTTTACGTCCCCTGCAGTAAAGCTCAATTACATTATATTGTAGAGTTGTATTGTTACCCATCAATCACATTATATTGTAGAGTTGTATTGTTACCCATCAATCACATTATATTGTAGAGTTGTATTGTTACCCATCAATTACATTATATTGTAGAGTTGTATTGTTACCCATCAATCACATTATATTGTAGAGTTGTATTGTTACCCATCAATCACATTATATTGTAGAGTTGTATTGTTACCCATCAATTACATTATATTGTAGAGTTGTATTGTTACCCATCAATCACATTATATTGTAGAGTTGTATTGTTACCCATCAATCACATTATATTGTAGAGTTGTATTGTTACCCATCAATTACATTATATTGTAGAGTTGTATTGTTACCCATCAATCACATTATATTGTAGAGTTGTATTGTTACCCATCAATCACATTATATTGTAGAGTTGTATTGTTACCCATCAATTACATTATATTTTAGAGTTGTATTGCACCCATCAATTACATTATATTGTAGAGTTATGTTTAGAAGGAAAAAAAAACTTTTCTTGAGAGCAGGGTCATTATTCTTTAATTTTTTAGTTCGCATTGTTTTTTTTTTTTTTTATCTGTGCAGCTTCTGTCTACAGGCTGCTTCTGTGTTGGGGCGTGCACTATGTTCCACTCGTCGCCTGGCTTATGAGCTTTATTTCACGTCCCCTGCAGTAAAGCTCACTTGCATGTGTTTTGTCTGTATGTGTGTGTGTGTGTGTGTGTGTGTGTTGGTGGGGCGGTGCTATAGACTTTTCAATCCTTACATATTCCATTCTTCTTTCGTTTTCGCTGTCGCTTTGCTTTTCGGCTGTTTTCATTTCCCCTTAGCACACATCAGAGATGGCGGGAATTGGTCAGTCTGTCAACGGCAACAGGTGACCCAGCCCAACGATTTGTTATTGGACTATGATTACAATGCGTGTTGTTTGTTGATGAAGGCTCTCTATCAGCAAAGCCTAGTGAGCAGTCGTGTTTTCATAAGAAGTCCATTAGATCTACCGAGTACCCTGAAATTATAAGATGTTCTCATGTAAAAAAAAGGCACCTTGATTTTGGGACAAAGAAAAAAATGAATTACATAAAGCTACAGAAATTACGTTTTATTTTTTCATAGAATGAAGAAAACTCCTCATCACTGTAAAACCCACATCCCTATGGCTGTTCTTTAGCGTTACCTTGTTTGCGTCTAATTACGAATCAACTCCTTCATATTTCACCCCATCCTCAGTTTCATCTGAGGCACCTGACATGCAACACTCTTTGAATGACTTAAGTCACATGTGGGAAACAATGAGCGTCAAGAGGAAAAACTATTTCAGCTGGTAAGAACTTTCAGTTTCATAAAAATAGTTTTTATGTCGCCCCTGAACCGGTACTCCCACGTGAGGCCCTGTAAGGATATTTTCTAACAAATCTTTTGGTAAAAAATTTGCTATCCTGTGTAAGACGCAGTCTGTTTCAGACCCTGCGTTTATTGGAAAATTAGTGCGTCTTATACAAGAGGGGCAATACGATACTTCTCATTCTGGTTGATGTATTTCATATATGGATATGGCAGTTCAAATAAAAGCAGGTAGATACCTGACACCTAGACGACAGCTTTCACATATGGACCTACCTGCTGAGTACCGTTGTATCGCTGGATTTGTGAGTCAATGAATCCGACACTACCGAGAAGGGCCTCCAGTATTTGACGCACGTCTGAACTCTCTTGCTGTAGCGCTGCCAGATCTGCGTGAAAACCCACAGCAAGGTTGTCTAGCGCCACAAACATTCTGTCCAATCGATGATCGATGCCACCTGTGAAGGATGATCAGAATCAACAGGTCATAGACCACACTATAGATCGTCGATTCCTAGGAACAGGACAGTGATTTTAAAGGGTCTTTGGGTAAGGGAGGGGGGTGTTTCGGGGTGACTTAGGTGGGGAAGGCGGAGCATTCCAATGTACACTGAGTGTCTAATAAAGATCTTTTGGGAACTCAGCCAGTTGGGGATGTGTTGTGAGCGTAGGTCTGTAATCCGTTCTCGCTGACCAGCCATATGATTGTATCGGCGTATCTGTTTAATGTTGAGTGTTATAGAGGTCTATAACACATAATTGTTAGGATAAACACCGTTGGTCGCCATAAAAACTTGTTGGTAAAAAAAAAAAAACCACTTGTTGGTCAGAATAAACACTTGTTGGCCACAATAAACACCTGTTGGTCACAATAAACACCTGTTGGTCACAATAAACACCTGTTGGTCACAATAAACACCTGTTGGTCACAATAAACACCTGTTGGTCACAATAAACACCTGTTGGTCACAATAAACACTTGTTGGTAACAATAAACACTTGTTGGTAACAATAAACACTTGTTGGTCACATTAAACACTTGTTGGTAACAATAAACACCTGTTGGTAACAATAAACACTTGTTGGTAACAATAAACACTTGTTGGTCACATTAAACACTTGTTGGTAACAATAAACACCTGTTGGTAACAATAAACACTTGTTGGTAACAATAAACACTTGTAGGTCACCAGAAACACTTGTTGGTCACCATAAACACCTGTTGGTCAGTATAAGCACCTGTTGGTCACAATAAACACTTGTTGGCCACAAAAAATAATTGTTGGTCACAATAAACACTTGTTGGCCACAATAAACACTTGTTGGCCACAATAAACACTTGTTGGCCACAATAAACACTTGTTGGCCACAATAAACACTTGTTGGCCACAATAAACACCTGTTGGTCACCATAAACACCTGTTGGTCACAATAAACACCTGTTGGTCAGTATAAGCACCTGTTGATCACAATAAACACTTGTTGGTCACAATAAACACTTGTTGGCCACAATAAACACTTGTTGGCCACAATAAACACCTGTTGGTCACCATAAACACCTGTTGGTCACAATAAACACCTGTTGGTCACCATAAACACCTGTTGGTCACCATAAACACCTGTTGGTCACCATAAACACCTGTTGGTCACCATAAACACCTGTTGGTCACAATAAACACTTGTTGGTCACAATAAACACTTGTTGGTCACAATAAACACTTGTTGGTCAAAACAAACACTAACAGAAATGCTACTCTAACAGGAAAACTCTATCCCCTTACCGGGTGTCCAACCCAGGTCTCTCCCATTTTAACCCGACGTTGTAACTGTTCGGCCAGCTGCTACTACAATAATATATAATAATAAGACAGCAAGACAATAAACAAAGTAAAGTAGAGTAAAGCAAACGACCCTTCCTCAACTAAAGGCGTATTGGGCTTATAGGGCACATACGGCTTCATCAATATTTTATAGACCTACCGGCACTTGAAGGGCGATGTAGTGTTATCTATTATTCATTTGAGGCTGGGTCGAACTGGGAGCAAAGGTCGTGTTAAAAAAAAAATAAAAACATCACCATCCCGATCTAAACCCACAACCTTCGGATCGAGGGTCTAACCTCTGTATCACGGCGGCCACCTTGGAAGTATGATAGGTACAGTATAAAAGTGATATACTTACCAACTTAAACAAACATAATTACTGTATAAAAGATGTGTAGTGAGCTCATGCAATTAGGTGATCTGCAGCTGCAGTATTGCTGTCATTCATCAGTAAATCAGCTGTCACATGACAGTGACATAAGTGTGACATAACTGTCACGTACCTTACACATGACAGTAGCACAATTGTCACAGGACAGTGATAATGTTGTCACATGACAGTTACACAAAAGTCAGAGGGCTAACAAATAAACATTGTAATTATTAACTTCTGAAAGTGATAGAAAAACCGTTCATATGGTACGATCGTAGTCTAGCCATCACATAACTTGCAAACTAAGCAGTTGCGTCACAATTATAATTACCACATACACACACAAACACATACACACACAAACACATACACACACACATATATATAATGATCGTTTAAAATACTGCAGATGCTACTGTTTAGACCGTTATATTAAGTCTTACACTTACCCTAAGTGGTAAATGCACACAAATATAAAGTCGGAGAGACACAGAGAGACCGAGAAAGACAGAGACTCACCAAGAGAGACAGTGAGAGACACAGAGAGACAGACACAGAGAGACCGAGAAAGACAGAGACTCACCAAGAGAGACAGTGAGAGACAGAGAGACATACACAGAGAGACCGAGAAAGACAGAGACTCACCAAGAGAGACAGTGAGAGACACAGAGAGACAGACACAGAGAGACCGAGAAAGACAGAGACTCACCAAGAGAGACAGCGAGAGACTCAGAGAGACAGACACAGAGAGACCGAGAAAGACAGAGTCTCACCAAGAGAGACAGCGAGAGACACAGACAGACACAGAGAGACAGACACAGAGAGACAGACACAGAGAGACCGAGAAAGACAGAGACTCACCAAGAGAGACAATGAGAGACACAGAGAGACAGACACAGAGAGACCGAGAAAGACACAGAGACTCATCAAGAGAGACAGCGAGAGACACAGACAGACACAGAGAGACCGAGAAAGACACAGAGACTCATCAAGAGAGACAGCGAGAGACACAGACAGACACAGAGAGACCGAGAAAGACACAGAGAGACCGAGAAAGACACAGAGACTCATCAAGAGAGACAGCGAGAGACACAGAGAGACAGACACAGAGAGACCGAGAAAGACACAGAGACTCATCAAGAGAGACAGCGAGAGACACAGACAGACACAGAGAGACCGAGAAAGACAGAGACTCATCAAGAGAGACAGCGAGAGACACAGAGAAACAACGAGAGACCGATAAAGACAGAGACTCACCAAGAGAGATAGCGAGAGACACAGAGACACAGAGAGACACATAGAGACCGAGAAAGACACAGAGACTCATCAAGAAAGACAGAGCGAGAGAGAGAGGCACAGAGAGACACACACACACAGAGAACCGAGAGAGACACAGAGAGAGACAAAAAGAGACAGAGAGACACAGAGAGACACACAGAGACCGAGAAAGACACAGCGAGACATAGAGACTAACCAAGAAAGACCATAGAGAGACACCGAGAGACACAGAGAGACAGAGAGGCACAGAGAAACACAGAGAGACGCAGAGACATACAGAGAGATACAGAGAGATACAGAGAGAGAGAGAGAGAGAGACACAGAGAGACACAGAGGGACACAATGAGATTTAAAAAAACAGAGACACAGTAAGACACAGAGAGAAGCAGAGAGACCCAGAGACACAGAGAGACGCAAAGAAACAGAGAGAGCGAGAGATAGAGAGAGAGAAAGAGATATAGAGAGACAGAGAGAGAAAGAGATAGATAGATAGAGAGAGAGAGAGAGAGAGAGAGAGAGAGAGAGAGAGAGAGAGAGAGAGAGAGAGAGAGAGAGATAAAGAGAGATATAGAAACATTCACTGACATTTTACCAAGCCGCGGTAAACAGAAGATACCTGAAATACCAAAAAGTGAGGGTTCAAAAATAAAACATAAAATCTCCATCTACAAATATCTTACTGTGATCACACATGTCCGCTGGTGAGGTGCTCTTGATGATATTGTCCGGCTGTCCACTGACATTGACAAAGTCCAGCTGACACAAAAACGACCCATTTAGACAATCGACCATGTTTTGGAAACCTAACGCCAGATGTCCTAAATTTCTGATGATGTATCCTGTCGCGTTGATGAGCGGGGACTTGCACTGCTCCACGTGTGCTCTAGGTTCGAAAAGGGACACAGATGCTAGTTTGGTTCTGGTGTTTGGGAGGGTAATATTGAACAAGGACAGTCCCAGGATGTGTTCATCCATCTGCCCCATGATTACGTGACATAGAAGATGACCACAGAACTGCCCAGCAGGTCTACGGTCCATAGACAAGAGCAAATCTGAAAGATGACATCGCAATAATTACCGGATGAGTGGGCAGCTTATGAACGTATGACAGGCAATGTGTTAAATGTGTGAGACCAGCTTATGAACGTATGACAGGCATTGTGTTTTATGTGTGACACCAGCTTATGAGCGTACGACAGGCAATTTGTTTTATGTGTGACACGTGCTTATGAAAGTATGACAGGCAATGTGTTATATCTGTGACATTAGCTTATAAAAGTATGACAGGCAATATGTTATATGTGTGACACCAGCTTATGAACGTAGGACAGGCAATGTGTTATATGTGTGACACCAGCTTATGAAAGTATGCCAGGCAATGTGTTATATGTGTGACACCAGCTTATGAACGTATGACAGGCAATGTGTTATATGTGTGACACCAACTTATGAACGTATGACACGTAATGTATTATATGTGTGACACCAGCTTATGAACGTATGACAGGCAATGTGTTATATGTGTAACACAAAGCTTATGAACGTATGAAAGGCAATGTGTTATATGTGTGACACCAAGTTTATGAACGTATGACAGGCAATGTGTTATATGTGTGACACCAGCTTATAAACGTATGACTGGCAATGTGTTATATGTGTGACACCAGCTTATGAACGTAGGACAGGCAATGTGTTATATGTGTGACACCAGCTTATGAAAGTATGCCAGGCAATGTGTTATATGTGTGACACCAGCTTATGAACGTATGACAGGCAATGTGTTATATGTGTGACACCAACTTATGAACGTATGACACGTAATGTATTATATGTGTGACACCAGCTTATGAGCGTACGACAGGCAATTTGTTTTATGTGTGACACGTGCTTATGAAAGTATGACAGGCAATGTGTTATATCTGTGACATTAGCTTATAAAAGTATGACAGGCAATATGTTATATGTGTGACACTAGCTTATAAACGTATGACAGACAATGTGTTATAGGTGTGACACTAGCTTATAAACTTATGACAGACAATGTGTTATAGGTGTGACACTAGCTTATGAATGTATGACAGGCAAAGTGTTATATGTGTGACACCAGCTTGTGAACGTATGGCAAGCAATGTGTTTTATGTGTGACACCAGCTTATCAACGTATGACAGACAATGTGTTATATGTGTGACACCAGCTTTTGAACGTATGACAAGCAATGTGTTTTATGTTTGACACCAAGATTATGAAAGTATGACAGGCAATGTGTTATATGTGTGACCCCAGCTTATGAACGTATGACAGGCAGTTTGTTGTATGTGTGACACCAAATGATTACCTTTTTTTTAAAAATACCCTTGAGTGGGTACCAGTTAAATTCCTGGGAAGTTAAGGTTCGCTTGGCTTTGACCACATCACCGATCGAGTGTCTACTGGTCTATAAAATATAGGTCTAGCCCTATATGCCCTGTACGTCTAAAGGCGTCGAAATAAAGACTTACCTGGGTGAGCAGCCACATGTGCAAGAAACAAACAAACAATGGTACTGCCGGCCTGGATCAACATGACGCTTGCTGAAGGAGAAAATCTCAGGTGTAGATTTGAACGTGCTTCCCCTGCTACAGTTGAAGACGTGTCTGAGTTTGTATTTCTGGTTGTCAGTGGGTGGGTGCTCATTGGCTGGTTCCAGTTTCTGGCGCAGGTGTCATATGTCACTGACACACATAGACAGGAGCCTCCCTGTATTACAGACACTGTCAGTATGCGTTGTCACATCCGGCTTTATACACTCTTGAGGTACGTCAATAAACATCAAAAACTTTCAAGGTTTCCTAATAAAAATGCGTTGGCACTCACACACACACACACACACACACACACACACACACACACACACACACACACACACACACACACACACACACACGGGATCACAGACAGACAGACACACACACTACTGATCCGTGACCTAACGCAATAGTTTTTTTTTTTTTTTTTAATTCTAGGTAGATAGTGCTTTTCTAAAAAAAAAATTCGTAACGTTAAACCAGAATTCTCGAAAGGGGGAGCTTTTGGTTATAATTATGACAAGGTTATATGTGCATGTAAAATGGTTTAGCACCGCACGCCATCAGGAGCGCTCAAAATAATATTTGGTGTAGCTGATGTTCAAACTCTGACAATAATTTCTTAGGAAGATAAAGGGATATCTGGGAGTTCAGATATTCGACTAGTGTGCAGGATGTGACTATCTAGGTGACAGAAATGTAACGTTGGTTTCTGAAATGCCTGGAGGGGAATAGTCGGTCAGTCACCCAGTCACTCAGTCAGTCAGTCACTAAGTTAGTTAGCTAGTCACTCATTCAGTCATTCAGTAAGTCAGCCAATGAGCCACTCAGTCAGTCAGTCAGTTTAACACACATACACAAAAAAGAGAAAACCACCGACCCTGAGCTAGAGGTCGTTGGAATTCTTATTCAAGTTGTAGGTTCGTGACCTTCGGCGAATCTTTTTTCTGACACAGGTTTACAGACTCACAGTTTGACAACCATGGCGAATCTTTTTTCTGGTACAGGTTTACAGACTCACAGTTTGACAGCCATGGCGAATCTTCTTTCTGACACAGGTTTACAGACTCACAGTTTGACAACGATGGCGAATCTTCTTTCTGACACAGGTTTACAGACTCACAGTTTGACAACCATGGCGATTCTTCTTTCTGACACAGGTTTACAGACTCACAGTTTGACAACCATGGCGAATCTTCTTTCTGACACAGGTTTACAGACTCACAGTTTGACAACCATGGCGAATCTTCTTTCTGACACAGGTTTACAGACTCACAGTTTGACAACGATGACGAATCTTCTTTCTGACACAGGTTTACAGACTCACAGTTTGACAACCATGGCGAATCTTCTTTCTGACACAGGTTTACAGACTCACAGTTTAACAACCATTGCGAATCTTCTTTCTGACACAGGTTTACAGACTCACAGTTTGACAACCATGCCGAATCTTTTTTCTGACACAGGTTTACAGACTCACAGTTTGACAACCATGGCGAATCTTCTTTCTGACACAGGTTTACAGACTCACAGTTTGACAACCACTGCACTCCATGTGGGTTCCGGGTCCACTGGAAAACAAGAAAAGACACGCTGTCTGCCCGAAAGCATGTCGTAAGAGTCGACTAAATGGGAGCTTATTTCGAAGTCGGAGTGTATCTGCCTGAGAGGCAAGGAGCCAACAGTCTGCATGCAAATAACTCAGACCTGTAAAACGGATGTACACGCAGAACTCAGTTTCTGGACAGGACTTGAGTCCTGAGGTGGACAAACAACCAGTACTTTTCCGCCGAAGTTTACAGCAACCGAACGCAAAGAAGAAGAAGAAAAAGAAGAAGAAAAAGATGAAGAAAACCACTGCGTTATACCACTAGGTTGTAATCATTTATGCAAACCGGATACGTACATTGTAAAAAAAAAAAAAAAAATCCAGTACATTAAGGGACTGAAAAGAGTCTCACGAACGGGTACCAGGGCGAGCTGTTCCAGCACTCGGCTGTCAACAACTCGGTTATAGACGGGTTCTGTAAGCGAACACTCTGTCAACGACCCGAACAGCCTTGCTTGCGAACTGGTTAAACAAAAGTAAAATGTAAATGGCTTTTTGGGTGGGAAAGGGCGAGGGGTTAAGGGGGGGGGGGGGGGGCGCGGGCAAGTAGAGTATTGGAAACATACTTGTTCTAAATAAACTCTTTGTACATTATTTCAAAAAAGTCAGTTCTGTAAAACAAATTCGCACACTCTACTCAGGTCCTGGGTCAAAGGTCAAAATCCAGAAATGGGAGTAAACCATCATTTTTTTTTTGCTGAATTGTACAACCTGTAAAGGCAGACAACATAAAGCAATTGGCGTTAATGGGTTGATGTGGTCATTATCACGCCAGTCGCCTTTACTTTTCAGTACATTTCCTAATACCTATTGTGATAGGCTCGAGAACACCAAAGACTGCTGTTCAGCATCTCGTCGATTTTGGTTTGTTTGGCTTATAACTTCATTTAGTCTGGTTGACGAAAGCGGAAAAGTCTGGCCACTGTGTATAAAAAGGCCAGCTCACTCACTATTTGGCCTTTTTTTAACTTTCGGTTGGACCCTGTAGGACAACGACCCAGCTGTTGTGGCTCTGCACATTGGGCTAACCAGCATGAGTATGGGCGACTGCAGGGAAAGATCGGTTGTCAGGCTGATTTCGCCGCGGTGGTATGTTTCCATAGTTGAATCTGAAATTTCTCTAGTGGGTAAACTTTGTAGAGATATGTCGGTGTGTATTTTCGCTAGGAGATCGTTCGATGGCAGGTCGCTATAAGTGATTGGTTAGTATGGTGGCATATTGAAAACTTAACGTACATGTTAAATATGTTTTGATTTTTGCCATTGTTGAGGTAATCTCGCTGAGCGTATGGTGTCATTGTCGTATTTCCTTTTGTCATTATCGTATTTTCCTTTTAGCTGGAGATAATTAGCATATTAGATTCTGTCTCTGGTCGAGCCCGTTGAATGTTTTTATGTTATTTGTGAACCACCCTGATTTTATGTTAAGTGAAATAAACAGATGTTTAATGTGGTAATCATAGTTCCAGTTGGTTTGGTTCAGATTAGGACTTGTAGTTACTGTGCGTAGTTTATTTGTTGCTTTGCTGATCTAGACTGTACACAGAAGATTTCTTGTCTGGGCTAGAATATTTCTGTTTTTAGTCCCCGCCCAACGAACTCTTTTTCTTAATTTTTATCTTGGTACTAAGGGCTTTTCGCTTTTAGTACACTTTTTTGGCGGTTTAAATCTGGAAGCCAAGACGCACTTCCTAACTCCCCCCCCCCCCCCCCCCGCCCAAATTCACCCACTCAGGGTCTGGAAACATGGACTTTCAGGCCGAGGGGATACACCAGGAATTCTTCATATTCAAGTTTCAGGTAGGCGTGTGTCTGCCATTGTTCTGTGCTAGCCTAAATGATTCACTATCATTGCGTTCTTTATAAGGTTAGATCCGGGCTCTTTCTCTGGCATCAGGCAACACAACGCAGAACTGGTACCTTATTTAGGCGTATATTTTCCAACCAGCGACGTCTGTGGCTTAAGCGTTGCGAGTCCGACTCGTAATTCCAACATACCACTATCGAAACCCACTGCTGGCTGCGTGGACCCAGCCTAAAATGGGTACTAAAATGGATGTCCTGGGAAGTAAAGACGACCGGTGTAATACTGACCATATCACTAGTGCCGATTGGTCTGTAAAAAATATAGGTCCTCTTCCCATATACTCGATGCGCCAAAAGGTGTGAAAAGGGACCTTTATATTTCTCAATAATATTTCTAATAGACACATTGGGGACAATACCGAGACACTTGTAGATACTCTATGGTGAACGCCGGTTTCACTGGC